GAGAAAAAGTCTTATGAGGAGTAGCTGAAGGAGCTGGACTTATTTAGTCTGGAGAAGAGGAGGTTGAGGGAAGACCTTATTGCCCTCTACAACTACCTGAAAGGAGGTTGTAGCGAGTTGGGAATGGTCTCTTCTCCCTGGTAACGAGCAATAGGACAAGAGGAAACGGTCTCAAGTTGCACCAGGGGAGGTTCAGGTTGGATATTAGGAAGAACTTCTTCACTGTAAGAGTCGTTAGGCATTGGAACGGGCTCCCCAGGGAGGTGATGGAGTCACCATCCCTGGAGGTGTTCAAAAAACGTTTTGATGTGGCCCTTCAAGACATGGTTTAGTGGACATGGTGGCATTGGGTATACAGTTGGACTTGATGATCTTTGAGGTCTCTTCCAACCATAATGATTCTACGATTTTATGATTCTATGAGTAACTCCTCCTCCTCGAGGAGGAAGGAGAAGTCCCTGATGGGATGCCATAGCAAATCTCCACTGAGAAGAATGTATTCCGGCCGAAGGACAGGGTTCTTTCGTTCCAGAGTGAGGTGGAGGTGAAGTGGCTGAAGCAGATAGACTGGTGGTGCTGGATGGTGAAGCGGATGCCCGGGATGCCCCAGCAGATGTGGTGGCAGTGGCAGGGCCGGGCATCCCGCAGGGCATGCAGGGCCTCCCTCAGGAGGAAATGCAGCGTCTTGAAGTGGAAGGCACCCAGGTGTTCCCCATGGTGTTACTGTAAAAGTCGCTCAGAACAACCTTCTAAGACTGAGTTTGGAGTTGTAGAAAGCAAGCATTCCTTTATTGCAGCACTGGATGCACGGGGATCATTCTGTCTAACGTGCATGTCAAACCAAATGAAGATTACATATAATGTATATATACATTATATTACATATAATGTATGTATATACATTATATACAACAAAATATTTACGTATTCATAGTACACTGCATGTTCATTGTAATTCACACTTAGGATTGGTTAGAAGTTTCTCGCTTCTGATGTAAATTAGTACGCATCCTAAGATAGCACTAATGAAGCCTTTTCATCAGGTGCACATGCTCCCCAAGTGTGGTTTTGGCCTCTTTTGGGGGGGTGAACTGAGTCGATGGTCGCAATCTCCCCCTGCTGCCTTTACCTTTCCCCCAGTTACTGCTGATTTCTGCTGACTTTACACTTCATGTGGCAACTTTCCAGCCTAATGATGCTCTGGGGTAGGATGTTCCTCTTTATCAGCCTTCAGTTGCACTTCAAGGATCTTAGTAGTTACCAAGCATGCAGATTTGTGAGCTCATACAATAGTACTATTGAGAGTCTAACTTTTGGTTATCCGTTCCCCCCCTCATCGCATTCTGCATTCCTTAGGTCAAGCTACTCTTTTTGCCTGGGAAATTGGTTTCTCTCCTCTACCCATCCACCTGTTTCTTGTCTACAGTGAGGGCGCTGTCCTCACACACGGTACAGGGGGTCCTGCAGGGTGTGTGCCAAGAGGGCACACAAGTCTGACTGCAGCGTTGGTGACTGGGGGACGCAGACCTGTCAGCTCTGCCATTTGGTGGTGGCAAGGGTCCAGGCCTCTGTGTAGATGCTGTTGGCAAACTCAGTGCGGATGAGCTCCTGCAGCTCCTCCTCCGTCATGCGGCTGCAGCCCCGCTACTGGTCATCCACGGAGGTGGGGCCATGTCCAGCACCACTTCCTTGACGAGGTCGAGACCTCGCCAGTGCAAAGATCTGCCAGTGGCAAGGATGTCGGCCAGCAGCACCAAGTCCAGCGCCACAGGCTCCACGATGGGCAGAGAGGTGAGAAGCAGCCACTTGCTCTTTTTATAGCAGCCCCAGCCGGGATCTCTCTGGCCCAGATCCAGCCCCCACCTCTGTCCTCCCCTACTGGCCATCAAGGATGGGGTCCACCCTGGGTGAGGGGCTGTGTCACCTGTTGAGCAGGGGGGCAACAGCCAAATGTGGGGGGACACTGACAGGCAGTGGGGGGTCAGGGGGAGGAGAGCTGGAGGTGCTGGAGGAGCCGTGATGGGGGGGGGGCCAGACCACAAACAGGGGCATCCTCAGCCCCATCTCACCCCGAGTCCAGCAGGGATGGTCTCAGTCAAACCTGGGGAGAAAGGGTGGGCGGTGTGGGGTGACCCCAGGCAGTGTGTGGGGGCTGGATGTCCCCAACCCCGTGGCCCTGCTAGGGCTGGGCTGGGGCAGCACCGAGGTCTCCTCCGGCTCCTTCATAACCAGCAGCACCCAGGCTGTTTCGCAGCACACTTGAGCATGGCATGCCCCGCCATCCGGCATGGGGACGGAGCGACCGCTCAGTGCCTCCACTCCTCCTTTGGGAGTCTGGGAGGGAGCCCCTCAAGGGGCCAAATCCCAGGAGATGCTGACCCCCAAAGCCCAGCAGGAGCCCAGGGCTGTGCCTGCCCCCAGAGCCCCATAAAGCAGCAGAGAAGCCTGAGGCAGACAGGACACGGCATCTAAATCCAGGGTGGCCACAGCACCCCCAGATTCCCCTCGGTGTGAGAGGTCCTGCTGCCTCCTTCTTGCCCCATGCCAGCCAGGTAGGGCGGGCAGGAGGCTGGGTGGCACAGCTGACCCTGGCTGCCTGCCTGGCATCGTGTTGTCTGCTCAGATGGGGGGGCTTTCCCAATGCAGCTGTTGGTCAGGCACTGCTGGGGCATCGCGTGGCTCAGCTGCTGGCGCTGACTGCTCGAGCACCTCTTGGGGCTTTGGTGCTTTATTTCCCTTCACTAATTAAACTGCCTTTGTCTCTAGTCATGAGTTTCCTTCATTTCTCACATTTGCCCTCCCGATTCTGCCCCTGTTCTGCTGGGGGGGAGTAAGAGGCTCAGAGGGGCTAGGGTCAACCACATAGGGCCTCGGCTGAGCAGGGAGGGGCATGGGGTGGGTTTGGGCAGGACCTGGGCTCAGCATCAGGAGGAGCTTCTTCAATCTCAAAAGCTCTGGTTAGAGCTGCTGTTGGCTGGAGTGCCAGGTGTGAGGGTCCTTCTCCTTCTCCTCTTCCTCCTCCTCCTCCTCCTTCCACTTCCGCTTCCCATTCTCCTTCTCCTTCTCCTTCTCCTTCTCCTTCTCCTTCTCCTTCTCCTTCTCCTTCTCCTTCTCCTTCTCCTTCTCCTTCTCCTTCTCCTTCTCCTTCTCCTTCTCCTTCTCCTTCTCCTTCTCCTTCTCCTTCTCCTTCTCCTTCTCCTTCTCCTTCTCCTTCTCCTCCTATTCCTCTTCCTCCTTCTCCCTCCCCTCTGAAGCCCCCCCAGTGTCACCTGTCCTGCAGAACATGGGCTTCCCCAGCTGATTTCCAGCCACTCCTGACCCCTTGCACCTGCTTGTACCAGCCCTGGAAGGGCACAGGGGGCTGCCGGGTATCACAAAGGGGGCTCTGCCTGCCCCACAGTGTCTCAAAGGGTGGTGTGACTGCCTGCTGTACTATAAAAGGGGGGCGCAGGGGCCCCGCAGGACCAGGTAGCAGGTGGTGGGTACAGCAGTCTGGAGTCATCTAGGCAGACTGCAGACTCAGCCTCTGTCACACCAGCAGTGTTGGGGGTCCTGTCACTGGGGACCCTGGAGGTCACTGGCTTTGCGCTGGTGGCTCGGAGCGCCGTGACCACACGGGATCCAGTGCCAGGGGGCACTCCAACGGCCCCACCCCAGCTGAGCTGCTCGCTGTCGTGATGCTGATGCTGCAGCTCAGCCTGGTCACTGCCGTGCTGTAGACCAAGCAGATCTGGGTAGGTGACCACTGCACTGCACCGCACCACACTGCTCCATGGTGTGGGGTAGCGTGGAGTGGCATGGGGGACTGTGACGTGGGGCTGGGAGCTGCTCCCATCTCACCCAGCTCCTGGGGTCCTGCAGGGGTGCTGGAAGATGATGAAGCGTTGGATGTGCATGGAGAGAGCCCGACCGAGGGAGGAGAGAGGTGAGTGGCCCCGGCACAGAGCATCTTGTAATTGGCCAACCCCACACAGCAGCCCTGACACAGGGCTGTGCCAGGGGCTGACGGCCACACATTTTATCTCTTCCATCAGCAGCTTCTCCACCAGTGGAGGAAGAAGTGGACACGCCCACACTGACCTACAAGATATGGTGAGTGTTGGGGAGACCCCCAGATCCTGTCCCAGACCCTCAGTCCCTGCCCTGCCCCTGCCCGCGCTGGGCAGCCCTGTCCGCCAGTCAAGGAGGAAGTGCTGCCCCCGGGTCCCTCCAGAGGGGCCAGGGTGCAGCGGGGTCTCTTCCCTCTCCTCCTCTGCAGGGCAAGCATGGAGGTGTTGAGCTGGGAGTGCATGGCCCTGCGGGCCCCGCTGGCCTCAATGCCCTCCCTGGGCTCCCTGGCCTCCCTGACGGACAGAAGCTCCATTTCCATGGGCTCCCTCTACTCCTTCCCGGAGCCCTGGCCTGGTGCAATGGCGGAACTGGCGGTGCTCACCCACTCGGCACCTGCCCAGTCCTCTGAGACTGTCGAGGATCCGGCAGGGGAGCCAGGCTTAGCCCTTGGCCAGGACGCCCCACTGGAGGTGCCAGTGGGGAGTGAGTGAGAGCCAGGGCTTGGGGATGGCATGGAATAGGCGCAGAGCCTTGTGGATATTCCAAAGGGATACTCGAAAATTATATTCCACATCGTAGAATATCGTGCTCAGCAAGAAAACTAGGAGGGAGTTTGATTGGCGGGGGCTGCTACTTGGGCACTGGCTGGGCATCGGTCAG